GTGGGATGGTTGATAATGGATGGCGATCGAATGATCGTGTATTAGATGAATATGAATGGGCGGCATTCATGTGCTGCTGAGATTGTTGTAGCTTCAATAATTCCAATTCTTTCCGTAGGTAATCGACTTCTGTTTGTAGAGAGTATGTTTGTGCGGATGGTGACGTCATTGTCGGTTGTTGTGGTTGGTGGAACGAAGGGAATATTGATTCATCGGATGTTTTCAAGATGGTCACGGTAGGATGCGATTCCAGGTTTGCTGTATCCCTATTATCCAAATGTTGTGACTCCTGGGTGTCGGTTACAAGATGTTCCATAGTTGACGAGGTCATTCTTCGTGTAGATGGTAATTGGGTCGATAGTTCACCAGTGGTTTGATCGATTCTTGTCGTGTTACGTGTGGGATAACGATGATGAGTTGACATATAAATTTGACAGACAAAAGGCAGGCGATCGAGTCCGGATATTGATTGCGACGGTAGTTTAGCAATCAATCGGCTAGTGCACCAGTTAGATGTTCGCTGCCTAATATTAAATTGCCACCTGTTGGATTGACGATTAGTCGACCAAAATGCACCAATATTAGATGACTAACTCTATCGTCGGATGGATGATAATAAGATGAGAAAATGATCGTTTCGCCTCTGTTTATTTATGAAAAATCATCAGCCTTATATAGGATTGGACATCACACATCTTTAGGAAATATCCCATAGGTGATCGAGGTAAAATGATCGGGAAAAAATCCCATCAGATATAATACATATGAACAATAACACTGAGAGAAAGGAAAGTACTTGTCAAGAGAAAAGATGAAACATATCTTATGTATAAGAAAGGGAAAATACACATATATGTGATAACAGAAAAGTAAAAATCAAACATATATGAGTCAATAGTAGAATGAAGAAAAATACCGAATATGAACATATGCATAAGAAATAAGTGGGTAGAGATGTGCGAATTACCACCTAACAATGGTGTAAAGTTAATCGGTCAACCATTAAGAAATTAGGAAGATTTTCTGGATACGATACTAAACGTGGCGCACGATCTATGGCAGAAATTGATAACGAGATGAAAAAGTAAGTTAGATTCTCAATTTTTCAATAAAATTATCAATATGTTTGACTTTAGGTCAGAAAAGAAACGACAATATGGTTATAAAAGATATCCAATATTTGGTGATCGATTCAGGTAAACTGCTAAATAAGAAATATGGACAGAATTAGATATGAGATTCATATTTTTTAGTTTTCAAGATGCACGACCTGATTTATTTCATTTTGAGCATCGAATACATGACATATTTATGAAACATATACTTGGATTAATTAATGAATCTTACGATATGGATAACATCAAAGAAGTCGAACAAATTTTACATGAGTTACATTCGATATCAAAGGATCAAAGGGTATGCGCGTTTGATGATTCTCTTTCTATCATTTTTGGTCACGTATGAGTTCAGTTTTACTGGGTATGGCTAAACCCAATATTAATTTATTTTAGGCTGATGTTAAGTTTGAAATGAAAAATGGAAATCTTGAAGTAAAAGGAAGATGCACGAATGGAATGGAGCGGAATTTTTTTAGGGATATCCCATTATCGCGTGTGCTTTATAACAAACCACAACAAACCTTAGATATTATGCAATTAATACAAAATTTTTACCAGTTATTAAGCTTATATTCGGAACGTGATTCAAATCAAGGTTATTTTGTACATTTAAAACAAGCATCAATTATGTGGGTTAAACAATTCGCTCGTATATTTGGTTATTCGTACGTTACACCTTATATGCATGTATTATGTGATCATATGTCAGAATTTCAAGAAAAAGACGAAGACGATGAACTATCATGTTTTAATTTACGAGGAGCAGAAAAATACAACGATTTAAGTACAGCAGACTATTTTCGATCTACGAATAAACATCATAACTCATTAGAACAAATGATTAAAAAGCGATTTCAACAATACTATGTTTTATTGGACCCAAATCAAACTCGAGCTTTATTTAACGACATTAATTCTAATTTTTCTAATAATTTATTCAACGATATGAACTCTATTTATGTTAATTTAAATTTTTAATGTGTATATTTTCTTATGAAGATTTTACTTTTTCACGTGAACCCTTTCTCCTTCTTCCACATATTTTAATTGTTATACTTTTCACTTAAATCGTTGTTTTTACCGCTTGTTCTAGATTGAAACATGACAGTTGATCGTCTATGTCTTCTTTGTCAAATACGAATAACGAAAATTGATAGAAACTCAAAGTATAGAGAAAAATCGAAACTGGATACAACTTTCTCTGTGACTATTATGACCCGAAGAGAAAGTCGGAAAGTCATAATAGTCAGAAAAATTTCGTTTAAGACTGATCGAACTACAAAATGAGAATAAATATTCTATTTTTCGAGCAACGCTGAGCAACGATATAACTCTTTTACATAATTTTCTTCTTTCTGCAACTTTTATGCTTTAGAATTGCCATTTGAGGTGACTTGTGTTGTGTAACCAAGCAACACAGGTTGACTGTGGATACACAAAGAAGTTAGAAACCTCGACAAACATGCTCTAAAACAGCTTTAAATCATGAAGAATCCTGCTAGACACTGTCTTTCCTTTGAAACAATCACTTTAGTTCAGCAGCGCTACGTTCAACGAGAACAAACGCTACTCACTTAGCGCCGGCTATAAAAATAATTATCTTTGCAACCGTTTACACTTTATTGATGAAACTTTCAGAAAATATTTAGATAGTACTGATTATTCATTGCCCAAGATTTCAGCTCGATCCGTCTGGCGCTAAAAAAGTCGACTTTTCAATCTCTCTCATAATGTTCAGATTTCCCCAACTTTAATCGCGTTGTTGGAAATATTTCAAGGTTTATTATGTGATAAATCTTCAGATATTCTTGCTTTTGAAAAAGGATGACTTGCATGTACCCAGGTCGACGAAAACTGGCATTTAATTGTCCATTAACAGCCTGTTAACTGTATGCCAAAAAATGGCCTGTTAATTGTGTAAAAATCGAATGAAAATTGTCATTTGACAGCCATTATAATGACCATTCTTTGACTTTGAAATAACAGTGAAAATAATGCCAGATTATAGGCAATGTCCGAAAAATTGTCGTTTTATGGACACCATTAAATGGCATTCTCGTCCATTTATTAGATCGCGTTAACTAATGCCAAATAAATGTGGCCGTTAAATGTCCGTTTTTTCTTCATTTCAAAACGGCAAAAAACTGGTCATAAAATGGCATTTAACAGCTAGTTTATGGTCACTAAGTCATTCACCGTTTATTCTGCCGTCACGAATAGTATAAATGACTCTGATTTTCCTAAAATAATTCAGAGTGTTTCTCTTCTTCAATTATACTAGTCATAGAAACTTGCCTCGAATAAGTGGCCTGTGGTTCTTGACTCGATGCAGGTGATAATACCTCAGGTTCAGAAGATATTTTTTTGACATTTTCTAACGGTCTAACTAATTGATATTTAAATGGTGAAAAAATGTGACCAGTAGGGTTACTGGCAGCAGTTAGATGCCTGTTATTTGACCGTTTTTTGACAATTAAAAAAATGCATTTAAACGTTCCCAGTTATAATGGCAAAAGACGGCCTAAAAACGGGATCAGATGTCATAAAAATGCCATTTAAATGCTTATTAACAGCGTATTAAATGGCATTTAATTGGCAATTAATTATACCGTTTTCGACGTCTTGGGTAATTTCAATAAGGCGCCTTTAGCCGCAAGAAATTGATGACGAATCAATCTAGAATGAAATCTTGCTATTAATACGTGCGGGTATCTCTAAGATGTAATTTCCTTCTGCTTACGTGGAATAAGATGCGCGTTAGTGAGTTATAATCAATTTCTAATCCGGAGGTTAGACGATCTATTATATTGTTCGACGTTGTCTAATCGTATGTTATTATCAAGTACAATGCTTTCAATTTGCTTTAATTTCACTTCGAACTCATGTAGACGTTGTTCCAGACGAGTGTTCAGAGCTGGCTGAAGAATATCAATCAGCAGATTTGAATCGATATCATCGAGACTGACTCTTTTTTGTGTTTCGCCATCGTCTTTTTTCACAATTGGTGTGAAAATATTTTGGATCATATCTTGCAATGTTGCACGAATTTGTTTATCATTTTCAGTACATCAGATAACTCAGTACTGAGATCGCATTTAAAGTTTGGTTTCGTTGTTAATCTACCTGATTTATGACTCATTTCCATATAATGTACCAGATCTAGCAAACTATTTATAAAGTGTATAAGTTAACTGTTCTTTACAATGACATATACGTCTTGACTGTACAGTAAGAAAACACTTATTTCATTACATTATCTGCAGAATCAACACATTTTTTAATGTCTTATCGTTGCCAATTTCATTTTCGGGTTGTCTGATGACTGGGACCATTCTTAATTGATAAAAATTCATCTTATTAAAAAGTTTCCGAATTTGTCCCATTACTTTCGTCTCTAACTAATTTTCGAAGGTATAATAAAACATTTTATTAATTGAATTACCATCTGACATTCATTTATTGAAAAGAATATGAGCAATAGCATATAAGAGCATAATATAAAAAAAATAATTACTTAACAATATATTTTATTTTCATACATTCTCGACATTCGATAGCAAATTTCATATCAGTAAGATCATCAGCATATTCTTTAAGATGAAACGCAAGCATTGAATCAATACTTTTGCTAATTTGTTTTTGTTTCGTTTTCGTAAATTGAAAAGTGATTCTTCTGCACGATAATATTGAAATTCGTACTTTTTACGTAAACATTGAATAAAATTGTGGCGCCTCAAGGCGGTTCGAATGGCGCAAAAATGCAGGCTCTAGTTATCAAAGCAAAAAACTAGATAGAGCTGCGAGGTCGCAAAGTGCCGTTTGTTTTGGAAATTTCCAAAACCGATACGTTATATGCGAACGGGCTCTAGCCCACGTCTATAGACCTATTTTTAAATGAGGAATCCAACAAAAATGTTTCAGAGTTCCACCGTTTACCGGAAAAAGACTGTGCAGGTTTTCCATATAGCTAGAAATAGTTAGAGCCTTCATTTTTGCGCCATTCGAACCGCCTTGAAGCGTAGAACAGAAGTATAATTCGCTTTTTTTGAAATTTTTCTTTGTTGACGGTTTTGAGCGGTTTTTGAGCAAAATCGGTCAAGCCATTTGAGCTTTACACCGTCACTTTTCGCTCAAAAATGCTGAAACTCAGAATCTAGAGGTAATTTCTGATCGGGAATCTGATGAATTTACTTTCGTAAATATGTGAGTTGTACGAAGGCGATTTTCAGATAACTGTATAGACCTATTTTTACATGAGGAATCAAAAAAAATGTTTCAGAGTTTCACCGTTTAACGGGAAAAAACTATGGAGGTTTCTCCGAAACGAGCGCTTTTCCGCTTCGTTGCGATATTTTCCGAACACTTTAGCACATGCGCTCGCCGGTTTTGTTTCCAAAACGTGTCATCGATCATTTTTTTGCGCCAACAGAAACTTTTTGTGTAATATTTGAAAACTGTGGAAAATCGATAATCAAACGGGTTTGACGTCAAACGGTTTAGCTTGTAACATGTCTGATACAACTCATTCAACTTTGTCACATGTTTCTGTGCCATAGAAAAAATGTGATTTCAGACTCCTTGCATGATCACCCTGTACAAAGAGTGAATAATGATAAAACAATTTGTAGGCGTAGAGAGCCTTCCAAAATAATATTATTCATATTTTTGTTGTCGTTGTTCAAGGGCAAGAAAAAAGTAAGTGAATGACGCCTGAAATTATAAAGCCATTTTTGGGTTTGGATAAACATTTGATTTTATGCATGATTTTTTAGGAGTGCGACTGTTGTTTTATGTTTTCTCTCTTTTCTTAATCAGATGAATAACTAAGTTCCAGATTTTAAACTGTTTTTTTCTCTTGGTAAACACACTCGAAATTCTGAAAGAAGACCTGTATTTGTAATCATTAAAAAGGCTTCTATGAAATACTTTTAATAGTAATTTCGTTCTATAATAATAAAGTTCTGAAATACTGTTCCTATTCCTACTAACCAACTTCTATATAAAGCACCGGGAAAGCTGAAGCAAAAATCAGACTTTTCATTCCATAGATATTTCAAATAGTGAGCAATGAAGACTTTTAGCTTATTCCTTCCCGTGTTACTCTGTGCTTTACTTTTAATGTGAGTATCGAACGTTTTTATTAGCCAGACCAACTGCTCTCCGCCACAGGTAGCCCGAGTGATAGTATCTTTCTTTAGTTCGTTCGACAACCACAACTAGACGTGAGTCCTCTACAAATCGTTTCCCTGATTTCTGTCATGTGATTACTATCCATTTCAAAATAGAATGGACTCGGTTGCTTTTTGAATAACTCAGAAATGTTACTAACTATCGAGTTCGGGTTTCCGCTGTTGGGAAGAGAAGATCTGGGGGCATCCAGGCATGCAATAATCATTTGGCTTACCAAGATCTTTGAGGGGTTTTCAGAAGGTCTCTGGAAAACCACCTTCATGAGAATTAGAAATTCTGATTCTCCTGTGTGCTTATGATCTGCCATACTGTCTTCTACAAGGCTACTTGAGATCGAGCTCGCTGCCTTGTTCAAGAGCTATAAGCATTTTCACGAGAGTCCCAATTTCGGTCAGTTGACTTGGGATCGTCCGAAAATGGGTCAAGATAAGGGTTGGTCGGCCACGCTGAGCCAAGTGGTAATGTTTATTTTTAGTTTCAAACCGATCTAAACTCACTATATCAAGGTAATCCCAGTATTCTGTCGCTATGTTGCGCAGAGAGCGGATATTTTTGAAGGAAGTCGAAAATCTTGATATAGTGAGTTTAGATCGGTTTGGAACTTTCACAGTTTGACTCAATTTGGGTACCGATTTTTCACATTTCTCAAATGTTGCACGGAAGGCTTTATTGACTGAAAAAACGATCGATGCCTCACTATCGAGGTCAAAAATGGCACCAATGCATGCGGAAAAGTGTTTTTTGCAAAATTGAATTTTCGGCAAATAACTCTCTTGAGTCATCTCAAA